AACTGGAGCCACTCCCTAGAAGAGACCGGGGCTTCATTGTGCAAGAGACAGGGGCCTCAACGTGCAAGAGACTGGGGCCACATCGTGGAAGAGACCGAATACCAAGTAAGAGACTGGGGTCACACCGTGGAAGAGACTGGAGCCTCACCGTAAAAGAGACTGGGACCTCACCGTGAGAGAGACTGGGGCCTCACCGTGGAAGAGACTCGGGCCTCACCGTGGAAGAGACCGAATACCATGGAAGAGACTGGGGCCTCACCGTGGAAGAGACTGGGGCCTCACCGTGGAAGAGACCGAATACCATGGAAGAGACTGGGGCCTCACCGTGGAAGAGACTGGGGCCTCACCGTGGAAGAGCCCGTGGAAAAGACTGGGGCCTCACAGTGTAATATCTCTTAAAAAGACATCATAGGCACACTTTTGTAAACTTTCACTGTGGAGACGGCACACATGTTACTGGTTCTCTAAGGAAAACAGCTATATGGAAATCATACCCACCAAGCATGTCTTAAGAAACGACCGTGGAGAGTTGGTCTGGAAATCCCTACAACAAGTCATAGAAAAAGTTGGTCAAAATCGCAAAGGCGGGGTGTTGCTTAATAAATTCTTCTTATTCTTTTGTTCACCGGCTGTAAGCTCCGGCGGAAAGTCCGGTCTGTTCGTCCATTTGGAATTTGGCTTTGTGCCAAGACCTGAGTTTTGCATGCACTTCCATTCTACTGACTTGTTTGTGTGCAGTTGGTTATTTCTTGCCACTCGGGCACATGCACTCCGACTTCGAAGGAAGTCCCCAATTAGTTGATTACTATGACATGCTTTTTTTTTTTTGGGGGGGGGGGGGGGTGAATCTATTCTTGTTTTCCTCACAATGGAACCTTTACTGGACTTACATTATTTTATTCCAATCTGCTGCTGGTCAGTGACAGTTAAACAGTCAGGTACAGTTGAAGCAGAGCTTTCTATGCTTTTAAGACAAAACAATTAATGTTTAGTTTCGACCCAGCCTTGAATGGGTACCAGGTACAGTCACAGGAAGTAAAAGAGGCTGGTGTGATGCTAACCGCATCACCCCCAAGTACCGATCGGTCTATAAAATATAGGTATATGCCCAATACGCATGAAGGCGGGAAAATGGTCGTAAGATAGGAGAGAACTCTGAAAGTTATTCATCACCTTACCGAGGATTAGAATACATGTCATCTATTCGGAAGCCCATAGTTATAGCCACTCGGCCATATGCTGCTGGATTATGGTTCTAAAATTAAAGATTTGGAACAAAATTAAAGCCCAGCTCTTTAACGTGTATACGAGCAACATTGCAAGCCTAGAAGCACCAGGAGTTGGAAGGATACTGACTTTCGCGGATGATATACTTGCATACAGGCAGGGGGAAGAGAGGGAACTAACAGCCTGGGAGCTACAAGCGACAGTAGACAAAGTGACTGAGTGGTGTACAGAAATGAGGGCTGTCGTCCACCCGGAAAAGGCGTCTGTTTTGTGGTGTTCTCTGGACAACAGAATCGTTAAAGCTAATGTCCCAAGTCTCTCGATAGATGGTAGAAACGTCTACAGAGAGAACAAACTGAAGTATCTGGGAATTACATTTGATAGGAGCCTGTCATTTAAGGACCATGTGGAGAGTGTTGTGACGAGATGCCAAAAAGGACTTAGTGCACTTAAGACTATGGCTGCAATTGACATATAGCAAAGAATGCTGTTCACACTATATCAGCACCTGGTCCTGTCAGTGGTTGATTATAGCCGGGGACTGCTTACCGTCTCAAAGAGTCAGATGGACAAACCAGAGCGCATACAGAACGCGGCTATGCGGGTCATTCTGAGTTGCACCAGAGACCCCCCCCCCTCTTGGTTTGCTGACTGTTGTAGGTAGGCATAAGGTGCTGCAGGCGAAGTCATATCTCAGGGTAGCTGCAGACACAGACCACCATCTGCATGAAACTCTTGGTGCAGTTAGGGCCAGCGGCTGATAAGAGGGAGGTCATGGATGGCTCAGGCAGAGGACACAATCAGACAGGGTTGCATCCTTGAAAACATTAGGGGAGGAGAAGAGTGGGTCAAAGTGCCACCTGAACAGTTAGACTTGTGTAGAGTCATAATCACGCTGAGCCGGGAATGCAGAGACTGGCCAGCAGGTGCCACAGAGGTGGAAATTCAGCAATTAATTCAAGATAATGCTCGCTCAGAGGATTTGATCATTTACACAGACGGTTCAGTGTCAAGAGGCAAAAGAAGTGCTTGGGGCTTCTCAGCAAAAGTTAACGGTCGACGTTTGGTGCAGGAGAGCCTAGCATATGATACCACAACTTAAGAATGGAGGTGGAGGCGGTCACTGCAGCTTTCCACTGGCTAGAGAACACGACACACACACATCGTGATTGTAACTGATTCAGAAAGCATGCTGAGGAAGATCAGAGCAAGGTATGCTTCGTGCAGAGTGGCATGCTTCGCTGCGGAATACACGGCTGAAGAGTATTGTCTGGATTTTTTCACCGGGGTACGCCGGTGTGTTGGGGAATGAACAGGCGGACAGACTGGCTGGCTCTGCACAACTTGGTGGAATACTGATACATGATAAGGCAGACGTGGTTAGTGCCTTGTTGGAGAGTATGTACAGTTCGGAGGAGCAGATGGATCACCACAGTCTGGGGAGATTGATGCAGTTGGGGGTGACTAGAGGTTCTGGTAGATGCTCGAGGCTCAGAGGAAAGGCAAGACGGACGTTTAATCAGAATGCTACTGGCACCATTAGTATCGGAACTCTTCGCTGGCTGCTGAAGATGGGAACGGAGCGCTTATGGGAATGCCCCGTGTGCTGTGATGTCGGTTCTTGAATCAAATCAAATCATATAAGGAAGAAATTTGAAAATAAAAATTGTGATTATTTGCCAAGGGAAGTTATCTGTGTAATTGCTTTTAATTTAAATTTACAGTCACAGTTCCCTCCCATGAATGCCGTGAAATTAATTGAAGTGTTTTCTTTAACTCTTTGAGTCCCAAGGAACGCATTATAAGTTCATAGGTTCCTACCTAGAAGCCCAATGAACGCATGATGAGACGATTTTATCACTTTCTTTTCTACCCCCTGGGCCTGTGATGCTAAACCCCCTGGGACTCAAAGAGTTAAGGTAAAGTCAAAGTCAAGAGGATACATTTCATTGCAAAATTTTTTAATTCCACATCAATCACTGACCGATCGGTTTGTCCTTTCTGGGATGCTGCCTGGATGTTTAAATACACTGGGATTTAAAATAAAATCTCTGTCTGGATGACAGACCAATTTGTTGAATGTTGAATTAAGAATCGACATCACAACACTCGGTCACTCCCATAAGTGCTTAGTCCCCATCTTCAGCAGCAAGCGAAGAGTTCCAATTCCGGTGGTACCAGTAACAATTTGATTATATATCCGTCTCATCCGTCCCCTGAGTGTTGAGCGTCGGCCAGATCCCCTGGTAACTCCTCTCAGCACCATTCTCCCCAGACAGTCATGGCCCATTTGCGCCTCCGCACTGTTCACTCGCTCTCAAAGAGCCCTCACAATATCTAACCTGTAATGCATCAGTTTAACATCAAGTGGTGCAGAGCCAGCCAGTCTATCTGCCTGCTCATTTCCCAACACACCGGTATACCGGAATAAAATATACAAAGAATGCTAACTATCCGGGGCCTCTGAAGTGATGCTTGCCACTCTGCACGAAGCATGCCTGTCTCCACATTTCTCAACATGCTCTGTAAGTCAGTGATGACACACCAATAGTGCAGATCCTAGACACCATGCTGAACCTATGAAGAATTTATAAATATGGTCCTAATTTGTAACTCGATCTTCGTCATCACCCTTGAGGGATGCAATTTTTCGTTTTTTATAAAGCCCTACCCTGGCAGTTGCCAGGGGTCGCAATATTGTCTAACGGTTAAACGCGATTTTCCGGGACTTCTCCACGGGTGATCCTCATCCGCATGGTGGCACTTTGTGTCACCGGGTGTTTATCGCTTTGTGTAATGTCCTGGTGGGGTAACATTTACTTACTAATTATGGTACCTGTAACGACTAGACCCGCCTGGTGTAACTGCATTCCTGTGCAGACAGCGACGATACTACGGGCGTCCTCATGTGGGACCAAATTTTTCGTTGTTATGAAGCCGCAGCTTTTTTGTTGATGGGAACCTAATATAATTCAACCTATGGGTTGAACAAGGTTTCTTTGACCTATCCCCGGATTATCTTCATCTGAATGGTAGCTGTAAAACGAGGACCTTAACAGCTGAACTTGAAAGAAAGATACAAGCATTAGAAATGCGTTGCTTCAGGAAAATTCTTGGCATATCGTAAAGAGACCACTTTACAAACGAAGAGGTTCGCCATAAAATTGTATCGACATGTAATAAGATCTAACGGCTTCACAAAAACAATACTGCAGGGCCCAGTAGGGGAAGATAGGAGAAGAGGCAGACCAAGAAAGACCTGGTTACAGAACCTGACTGACTGTACAGACCTCAGGCATGCAACATGAAGTCCATTGCAACTGACCGAAAAATGCGGAGAGAGCTGATCAGACAGTCAACAGAAACTGGTGACCCAACGACATGTAGTGTTACGGAATAATGATGACGATGAATGGATGCACTTTGTGTAACCGGGTATTTATTCGTCGGTGTGATTTCCTGGTGAAGTAAAACGTCAGTCTGTCAACAACGAAATGTAATACACTTCGTCGCAATGTGGGACATTTTGATTTGTTTTTTATTTTAAGCGTCGGGCTTCAAAATAACAAGAAAATTTCGTTCCATATTGGGGCGAGGGTAATTAGTATACTAACTATGTATCAAGATATGATGAGCAGCATACATGACAGAAGGCAGTGTGGGAACATTTTGACCGACACCACACGGCACAAACTATTAGATCCTTTCCTCGCCGATAGCAAGCAATTTGCAACATTACAAGTCACAGCATTGTACAAGTATTTCATCTAGAAATGCGACAAAATCTGGTTAGGCAATTTTACAAAATGGCTAACAATGTTGTCAAGGTGGCTACAGTAGTTAAAGTCAGCCGGTTGCGGAGATTAGGTAAAGTATAAGAGTTTGTCTTTGCAGTAGGAATTTACATAAGAAGAGTATATAGACACGACTGTTGAAATGTATAGTTACCATCTCAGCAGGCTGATCACGCTAGTTTGTGATTCTGTAACTGTACTGTAGTGCGTTGTTGAGTTGGTCGTTCGTTGGTTCAATGGTTGGTGTGTTGACGTTGTCCTGTTGTTATCATGTGTGTGTGTGTATGGATTGGGAGAAAGGGATACAAAGGGGGGGGGGGGGGGGGGAGGGGGGGGTGTATAATTTATAATTAAACAATAAATTGAAAACATCTATTTATCTATATTTTAAGTTATGGTTCTTGTCAGCATTATCATCTGTTCTTAGGCGTCCTCAGTCTCAAGGGTTTTTTTATTTTTTTTGGTTATCTGCACTGAGTACTGTAGCGAAAAATACACTGTTGGTTGAAGTTGAAGTTGACAGAATAAAACGGAATCTCCATAGTATTACTATCAAATCATACATACTGAGTATCCAGTCAATACTGTATCCCCCGTATGGGTTCAAGGGCCACATTATGGGGAAAAACAAGAATAGACCCACTGCCTCCCCAAAAGCATGTCGTAACAGTCGACTAATTGGGGAACTTTCTTTGAAGTCGGAGTGCTTCTGCCTGAGAGGCAAGGAACCAACAATCTGCATTCAAGTAAATCGGATCTGTAAAACGTATGCACACACAACAATCACATTCTGTAGCAGGACTGCAGTCAGAAGTGGACGAACAACCGGGGCTTTCCGCTAGAGTGTACAGCTGGTGAAATGATTGTATGAGTGTATTTAATTAATGCATACTGTGTTTTATTTTGTTTTCAGTACGGAGTCCAACTGTGTGGCCTGATCTGGTTTGTCCCATTTATACCAGGTGTTTATCTGGCTCTTGCGATGCTTATTTAAACTGCACATAGTTCCAAAATAGGTTCTCCTTGCAATAACGGTCGCTACTTAGACGGCGACGGCCGCTTAGTCGGAGTTCAGTCCCCTGGCTGCAGTGCAATTAGGGAGTGGACAAGGCACGAATCACAAAACACAGTGAGTTTAACATGGCGTCTAGACTATGCACTGCGACTCACATTAGCCTAACCCTACCCCTAGCCCTAATTATGTCATTTGTGTCGTTCCCTCTTTTCCACTCCGTAATTGCACTGCAGCCAGGGACTGAACTCCGACTAAGCGGCCGTCGCCGTCCAAGTAGCGTCCGTTATTGCAAGGAGAGCCCAAAATACGGTGTCCATTGTAGTTGCAGTCTTTGCTGGTGTCTGTATATTGCCCATGGTGTTTGTCTCTGCCCTATATGTCCATTTGACTCCCCCCCCATTACCATTAGATCGTCATTTGTGTATTTGTGACTGATGTCATCCAGCAAAAAGTCAAAGAAGTTGTCTTTTTCTTCCAAGGTGTAGCCATCATTGGTGGGTGCCTATGTCTGCACAATGCATGTATTTCTTATTTTCCCGAACAATTGTAATACTGTAGAGAGCAACAGACCATTAAAATAAAGATCACAGTCTGAAACAAGTCAAGAATTTAAATACTTGGAAAGCATCTTTACACACAATGATAAAATAGACAGAGATATAGAAACGAGAATCCAACAAGCTAACAATGTCATATACCAACTTGTTCCAATTTTAAAACACACAGCTATCCCAGTAGAGACAAAAACGACAGTTTATAAATACAATATTATACTGACCTTAGGTTACCAGTGTCAGACTTGGACTTTTACAACAGAACATAAAGGAAAACTAACCACCTTTTACAGATCTGTTGATTTCTCCTCTTTCAAGCAGATGCTGTTCGATTTTGAAAGAAACATCCCTAATTAGTTGACTCTTATTGACATGCTTGTTAGGGGACAGTGGATGTATTCTCCCCTCCCCCCTCCACCCCACAATGGGGTCCTGGAACCCACATGGGGAACTGTTTTTGTATACTATTTGTATATTTAATCATTATACAAAGAAAGAAGTGTAATTTCAGTGTAGAAAATAATAATTTTGTTGTTATTGAATAAATGAAATTCTAAAAGTAAAAATTTTTCTCCTCCACAGGTCAGTACTTTGGAGCTATAGCAAATGATTACAAGGCAGTTGCTAAAGACATTGTTCAGGATGTAAGAAGTGGATCAGTCAAGGCTTCCGTGTATATAACTGGCCTAGTGGCCACTGGAATCCTCTTCAAGTCCAACCCCTCCGCTAGAGATCTGGACGATGCTGTCATAGAAAGTGCACATGAACTGTCTCTGATAGGAGCAGCCATTCGAAGCAAGGAGGCTGACAATTACGTGGACAGTTTACGAAGTGCGCAGCGGGATGGCTTGCTGCATCACACAAATGTAGGGCTGTTCTCGCTGGTGTGGTTGAGTGACAATCGTGATGAGCTAGATCTCTATGAGGCACAGTGTTCGTATGTGCACATGCCCTGGTACCAGTGGTACAAGCGGGTTATTGATGTGGGAGTTCTCGGAAAATTTGTGAAATTGTCCCGTAAAATGAAGGACTACGATATAAATGAGGAGGCATGGGAAACCAGCAATAAAGCGACGTAACATTTTGTTTTTTGGTTCTTGTTGTTTATTAATTAATCAGGCAAGGAGGGACTACGGGAGGAAGTAAGCGATGAGTTTACATTATAGTCAGTGTGCTGTGGGAACAGGTAGCATCTACACCTTAAGATATTTGCTGCGGTATATGGGGCACACAATATGGGCTACCATTCTCTAAAATATTGGACTGTCCTAGGATGTCATCTGGGGTAGGATATAATGAAAGAACACATTTTTCATCCACTATCCACAGTAGTCCTGTCCACAAGTCAGTCAGCTTGTTATTAATTTCCTCTTACGCCACATGCGCTGGCACACAAATAAACAATGAAACATTTTCACCCGCCTTGTCCTCCGCAGAGATGGGTGACCACTGTCCTTGAGGTTAGCCTATCTCAATCTTCTAGAACAGTGGTTTTCAACTTTTTTTTTCTCATGTAGTGCCAGCATTGAATACATAGCATGACCCCCCCCCCCCCCCCCCCCCAACTTTTCCCCCATCCCTTCCACGCCCCTGAGTTTAAAAGAATTTGATTGAAACAGGAGATAGAAAATCCCAAGCAATATTACCCAGAATTTTGCAGATGATATAGCACTCTTATCACATCAACATGAACATATACATACATATACAAGAAAAAAAGTAACAGACTACACCGCACAGCAGAAATGGTTGCACTGAGAATAAATACAAGGAAAACTAAGATCATGACAAACAGTCCAAACCAACAATGACCAATCAGTGACTATAAATAACCAAACACTTGAAAATGTAGAACATTTAACATAAACATTGTGGTGTCTCTAAACCAGGGACATGAAGAATCAGTCACTCCTGAACAAAGCTAGAGCTGCTTTTGGACAGATGAGAGACACAATCTCAAACACTAAACTACTTCAAGTCACAAACCAAGAAACTCTAGACAGTATGATAACCAAGAGAAGATGGAAATGGCTTGGCCACGTTATGAGAGTGAATCTTGATATACCTGCCAAAACAGCTCTCACATGGACACCAGAGGGTTAGTGAAAGAAGGGGCGCCCAAAAACAACATGAAAACGAACAATGGAAAGTGACCTGAGTGCGGCATCTCTGACATGGAAAACTGCACTGAAGATTTCACAGGACAGGAAAGCATGGAAAATCCTTATGAAGCCTCATGTACTACTAGGCATAAAGAGAAATGGTGATGATGATGAATATTAACCAGAAATGTTAAATCAGTTTTTAAGGGTGATATACAGACTGCTCATGAGAACAAAAACATCTGGCTTTTTGTTTAATAGTTTAAAAAATATTTTATTTGTAACCAAACAGAAAAAATATGTGAGCATAACAGACATAACACTTCATAAGCCTCTCAAATATGTTTTTACAAAAACCCAGGCCCACTTTTAATTTAGTGATTATTTGAGAATTTTTGGTATTTCTTCTTTATGTCGTTTTGTACCCGTTCGGGTGTGGAGGGATAAATAAGGTCCTGTTTCTTGCATTTCTGGCTGCCTCGACCATAGACACATCATAGTGTTGTAGAGTTTTTCTGATGTTATCTTCCCATCTAGTTCTTGGTCTACCTCTTGCTCTACGTCTCTCTCCTCTTATAGTATGTGCCTTGTATGGCATAGCATCAGAAGGCGTTCTCTGCAAGTGACTAAACCACTTGATCTGCTGTCTTTGTGTGTATTTTAGAATTGGTTTTGTGTCAGCTTTATCTCATATATCCTCATTTCTGATTTTATCTCTTGTGGTCACTACTGCAGTCTTTCTCAGACATCTCATTTCCATGGTTACTAATTTTCTTTTATGTTTTATTGTGAGTGACCATGTCCGGCACTGATAGCACAGTGTAAGAATAAATATGCTTTGTATGAGATGTTTCTTTGTGCTGATTGGGATTGCCTTATGCAATAAGAGGGGAGCTAGCTGTCCCAAAACTTGGCCAGCTTTACTGGATCGGATGTCAATTTATTCATCCAATTTACCATCTTCAGTGAATTTGTTCCAAGATTTTTAAACTCAGATGCCTGTTTAAATTTGGTTAAATACTGATAGAGAAACGATCTGTGTTAAAGATCACATGTAATTGTTGAAGGTCTTTACTTAAACTATGTTCACTTAACACGTTCACTCTGGGAAGCCCCAAACCTGGCTTTTCCATCTTTGCCATGTCCCCAGAAAGGTATTGAAACCAGCTTTTCTGCAGTGATCTGGTTGCGCAAAACTTAGTTAAATGTTATTTGTTCTATTTGCGCCTGCACAGCTTTTAGTAGGCCCGGATATGAATATATTTACTGAAAATAGCATTAAGGGGTTGTCTTGTCGGCTGAATGGCTTTTTAAAAGCTGTGTGTGTTGATTTAAGTTTTCCTGTAGTCATTGTTCAAGTCGTGGCATGAGTTACCTGATATATATTTTTTAAGGCCCACAGAGATATATCATTTAATGTTTCACTCTGTCTTTAATGATTACTAGGGCTTTACCGAATATTCGCTTCGGGGCAGTAGAGTGGACCTAATAACTATTCGGTATTCAGTCGAATAGTTGCGGTCGGGCCAAATACGAATGGTGGTTACCTTACACCCGTTTCTGGGCTGGTGAGAAATGAACATATCAAGATTTCCCACCTTGGTTCATACTGTCAAGCGTTATCATTGTGCACCACCTACGAGCGTACCAAGTGAACGTCTGTTTAGCAAAGCTGGAAATACCTTCAGTAAGACAAGAAGCTGCCTTAATGCTGACAACATGGAACAATTGTGCGTGTTTTTTTTTTTTGAAAGCTAATGCTTTTTTTAGCTTGCTACATACATCCAGTTTTAACATATGGCTTGTGAGTCCTGGACAATTGGTAGGCAGGCCAAACAATTTCTTGAGGCCTCACAGATGTGGTTTTACAGAACAATGCTTAAAATACCTTGGACAGCCAGAAAAAAGCAACCAAGAGGTTTTATAACAGGCGGGAGCCCGAAGACAACTACCCACAGACATCAGAAGGAGACAGTCATCATTTTTCGGCCATGTTATAAGATGCGGGTAAATGGAACATGTATTGAGCATTGGAAAGATCTGTAGATGGAGGGATAGAAGAAGACAACAAGAGAAGATTCTTGACAGTCTTGTTGCATGGCATAGAGGTGTGTCAGCACACGAACTAATAAATGCTGCAGGAGATCACAGATTATGGCAAGGCATAATCGCCCATGCCAGTCGGCAAAGCACCTGATGATGATGATTTACTATTCGTATTCGGCCGAATAGTTGGTCCAGTTATTCGTATTCGGCCGAAAAGTGAAAATCACTGTTCGGTACAGCCCTAATGTACATTTTGGTTTAAAAAAAAAAGAGATAAATAAATTGTTAACATGTATTTTGGTGACCTGTTTTAAATGTGTGGTTTATCACCATATTTATTTTTTTTCAGAGGGGAAGCAGGTCAGTTTTCCGGGGTTTCTGTTTTTTTTTTTTTACAATGTTTCAGGGGATGAAAGGGTTAATAAATCTTTTGGTTCCAGAAGATTCAGCAGTAGATGTCCCAAAGGAAACTGCTTCTTCTTCTATATTTGACCTTCAGTGTTTAGCAGACACTTTGCAGACTGCTGCCAGTGTCCTGAATGACCATAAAAATGCTGTCCTTCTCACTTGAGCGCAGACTTTTTCGTGTTGGTACACAGTACCCTAACTCCTCCTTTGGGGCTTGCTTTTTTTTTTCCACACCCCTGGTAAAGATAGTTTACAGTGAGTATCAGTACCTTTTTTGTTTAACTTTATGATGAGCATCTGTTTTTATAATAAAAAGCCCTAGTGGGGCATATTCATGCTCATAATGTCTTTAATGTACCATCCGTGACTGTTTGTGTTTTACCACTTTTGCGGGGGTTGGGGGGGGGGATCTTTAAGCCTGACGATTTAGGGCCGCAGGTTAGAATTTTGTTTTTGCCCCTGACAGAAAAAAATCCACAGCCTGACTAATGATTCAAACATGGGTCTCCAGTATGAGAACCCAGAATTCTTAACTGTTCCTCCAACCGCTCTTCAATGTCCCGTATGCATCTTCTTGTTAGTGGATTCTTAGCTGTTCTTTCATCATCATCATCATCCCCTTGTGCCTTTATACGACAAATGTGGCTTCTAGTCTAGTCCCTCCATTCTGTCCTATTTTGTGCAGGCCTCTTGATATTATATAGTCCAGGCCAGCACCTTTCGCTCAGCAGTGTTTTTTTCCAGGTGTCTTTTTGATATTCTCATTTCTTTATTCCATTTGTTTCTCAATACAGTGTTTTCTAAGTGATTCTATGTCTGATTCTGCGGATGATGTTCGCAGTATATTGCCTTTTTTTGGGTGTTATCTTAAAACTGTTGATAGAAATGATTCTCCAGGAAATTCTATTTCTCCCCTTTCTTTCTTTAATTAATCCCTTTTAATGTTTATTAGTTTTCTTAGGCATTTATTTTTTAATGCATTTAACTTTTGTTCCATATCTTTGTTGGTTCTCTAAATTTCACAGAAGTTAACAATAAGTAGCTTTGTTTTAAAACTATTTTTAAAGTTCCAGAGAGAGAGAGTGACACACACATATATTTATGTTCAACAGTGACATGCACTGTTTGCTACTCATTTCCGTTTTTAAATTTCATAATTTTTTTTTTTTAAATATAAGTATCTAAACCATACTTGGCACTCCATCTGATTACATGCCTCAGCTAGGTCGTGTTTACTCCTGTTCACTGTCTGCTGTTTGTTTGTTTGTTTTAGTATCCAGAAGCCATGAGTTGTTAACCCTTAGGCTCAGTATTATGGATATCACAACCTTTCGGCCTTGATTACACTGTCAATACCGTAAATCTGGGAGAAAATGTGGCTTTCCTGTCCACTACCGGGATTGAACCCGGACCACAAAGAGTTTGTCACCCAGTCTCCGCACAATCCGGTTTAGCCAACTACGCTAGAGAGCCGGGCCAGTTCACTGTCTGCTAGTGACACTCTACCGTCAGTACATCTCAGA